ACTGGAAACAGATGTCCTCTTCGGAGCACGATCAGCTGTCACACATTCTGGCATGGCACAGCTGACCCGATTCACTGACTGTCATGCCTCAGCCCCTCCTGGAGCTTGAAATGCCCAGTCCCAAGAGAAAAGGGCCCCGGATGCTATGCCCCAACACAGAGCCCAAGTCTGCAAGTGGGAAACCTCCTGCTTGCGGTGGCATCGCCTGGCACACATCTGCAATGCAGAGCGGGGAACTCCCAAGAGGGTATATGTGTGCTAGGGCCAACATGCTTTTCTTGCTGCCACACCCCAGGGGCAAACAGAGAGGGGAACCCCTATGGGAGTTCCCTTTCTATGCTTGCAGACATGTGCCACAGGAATGAGGTGCATCATGGCAGGAGAAGACATCAGCTGCAAAAAGGAGGCACAAATGATTACTAGGGTTGCTGCTGCAACAAAATTAAGGCACTTTTGGTACAACAAAGGACTAAGATGTCTAGTCTCTCAGCTTCTGTGCCACCATCAAAATTTTCATCACAGCACAAAGTCAACATCTAACTGGAGCCTTAGAGACGAGGAGGGAGAAACTTGGCTGTTGCACTCTGGTGGTAAGGGGTTAGAAGAGAGCTACGCTTCTGCAATGGGCAAGTAAAAAGGAGGAGGAAAAAATGTGATATCATCAGATCATGAGGTTGACCTGATTGATTCCTGAAGTGTATATATGTGGAATATTTTAGTTACCTAACCGCACTGTTCGGAAGACATAAAGAAAAATAAAAAAGTTAAACTAGGTTACAATATGTTAACATTAGTACGTGGTTGTCTAACACGACAAAACTGTTTGCGTGCATCTCTGTATGCATAATTTCACACACACAGACCCCCTCTACCTCTGTTCTTGTACATGACAGCTAAGAGCATACTATTTAAAAGAGAAACAGGATTTACTCACAGCCAAAATAATTAGGACAAAACATTACAGAAGAACACATTATGCCTTTTTACTCCTCTTAAACTTTTTCAATAACTATTTTTATTCTGTTTTTTACACCATGAAAGCCAATATCCCTGATCTACCCTTAGCACCAATGTCCTCACTATTTGCATATCATATGCCTTTCTTAAGCATTCCTACCCTACTTCTCTTAAATCTTTTTTTCAATCTTCTCCCCTCCCCTTTTTTTATTTTTTGAGACTTAAACTGAAATGAATTGCCACTGGTTTCAGAAACTTAATGTGTCACTGTGTAGCAGCTGAAGAATGCATGTTTTATAAGGTTGTGGCCCCTGAAAAGTGCCTGGCCTGACTTTTTGCTTTGGATGCTGGGTGTGTGCTAACAGTTGACATTGGTGAAACTCTCCTAGCTGTAGAGCTGTAATTGCAGCGTTCTCTTCTGAAAAGCATAGCGGTAATGGAGGAGTGTTAACAATGGCTTTACTTTACTAAACCTTTTCTTTTTCCCACAGCTGAAGCAGAAGTGAAAACAACAGCTGCTCCTGGAGCCACACCGAGCAATACCGTCCCATCCCCGGGCTCCCCGACCTCACCTACTGCTGATAGCGCTGTGCCTCTAGATAAAGAGATGAACAATCCCCATGCTATCCCACGGAGGCATGCACCTATAGAGCAGCTTGCCAGACAAGGCTCTTTCCGAGGTTTCCCTGCCCTTAGCCAGAAGATGTCTCCTTTTAAACGACAGCTGTCGTTGCGAATAAATGAGCTGCCTTCAACAGTGCAAAGAAAGACAGACTTCCCTATGAAAAACTCAGGTAAAAATAAATGGTGTCCTAAAGTACTCATCCTTCAGAAATGTGAGGGTGGGGAAACTTACTTTCACTCTCTCAACCCACTTACCTCTGGCTTTAAACAAGCACATCGCTCTGGTTTTTACTATATTGGTCCTTCCTACTTCACTTCAACCTCTTGCAAATGAAAAGTGCCGTCAGGTCAAGAAGGACTTTTTGTTGCCAGGAAGGGACTAGGGTCTTTGCAATACGACAAGCATTAGTGCAAGATGAGGAGAGTTGTTGTTCTCTGACTTCAGAAAGTCATTCAGAGTGCTGTTGTGTAGGTGCTGATGAAACAGGCAGCATTGTACCCTGAGTAATTACATCAGTACCTGAGCATGAAGGTAAGGGCCTCTTTGGAAATGTAAAAAACCTTAATCACTTTTGAACATTAAAGACCCTTTTCCACTTATTAGCTGAGGTGCCTCTGTCAAATTCTGCTGGAAGAAATTCTAACATGTTAGAACAGCTGTAAAACTGTAGCTTTCTCACTGAATGATCCCAAAAGAACTATAAAGTGATGATTATAAAGTGTAACAAAAAACCCAGAATCCTCTTAAATAATTTGTCCTGCAGGGCTGTCTGTGTTCTGATCATAAGAGTGTTTCTAGAAATCTGAAGCCTTAAGTAAACTACTGAATAAAGGCAAGAGTCATTGCTTGGATTGCCATTTCATCTCATTTGTTCTATGCTGTTACTTTTATTTGGAACCATCCTGCTTTAAGGTTAACTTTTGGTTTCACATCTGTTTAAAACACCTCATAGCCATTACTGTATCACAGTCATATTAAGACTTTGTTCTAATATTGTCCTGTTTTCTTAGTGCCTTTGCCACTCATCATCAGGTTAAACTGGTTTCTGAACAACATCCCAATAAAGCAGTGGCTAGGAGCGTATTTTATTTAAGTGGTATCCAGTTGATTAGCTTATACCCAACCCTTCTGAATCTTTTCATGTATTTTGTATTTGTGACCCTGGTGTGTCTTACATCATTTCCACGTGCTGGTAAATGGTTGATAACCAAAGGTACCTTTGGAGAACAGCATATGAGTAGGAAAAACAATTACTTCTGCACACTTTATCAGAAATGCCTTTTTTTTCCACATTTACACAGAAGAAAACTTACCCTGGCCTGGTCCTACAACAAAAGGGTATGTGTATCTACATGCAAGTCGAAGTAGTTTGCTTAAGAAAAACACAGTAAGCATATGTATATTAAGGGTGTGGCACAATGAATAAAAATGAGAAGAGCTGGTTGGAAATTTTTGATTGAAACTTTTGCAAGAAAATGCTGGTCAGATCACCCTGTTCAAGGGATTAGATAGTTGAGCTGAAGGTTATGTTGGGACAGGCTTTCTGAGCTACAGAGCAGAATTTCTGGTCAAAGTGCCCTCAAAAACCTCCCCTCTGTTTTAGCTGTGATGCAAGAAACCAAGATTCAAAGCAAGTCACTGGTTCTATAAATGAGCAAAGAAACTTCAGAAGGTCTCTGCTCTTTGTCCTGGTTAATGGGAAGGTTTGTTATATCTGTTTCAAGGGACAAGAAAACTGCTTCCCTTCCAGATCTAAGTGAGGTCCTGTAGCAAAATGGTAACGATGGCAATGTTAAATTATGCTGCATGATGTACGGTGCCAAGTCAGTATAAGAACTCAAAAAGCCTGAGGCTGAATCTATTCAATCTTTGCAGGTTAGTTTAAGCTGTGTAGATTGAACCGACAAGCAAGTGAACAGACTTATTTTTTTATTCCAGAAATGGAGCCACATGCCTGCAGGGGCTCAGGTGAGAAGCCAGAGGGCACTAAACCACACCTCCATGCTTGGCTTTGGCAGACATCTTGAGCCAAGGCTAGCCCGCCTACCCTGCCAGGCGGGGTTTGTGGGGGAGGTACAAAGCATCCTGGGATGCCAGGGGATTGTGAGTTAACTTGAATCTGGAGGGCATCTGGGACAGAAGTTCAATAAGGCGATTTAACCTAAATCAGTTAAGTCTGATATTACATCCATTCAAGTGAATCTTAAACCGATTTGGGCCATTTTGAACGTGATTTATATGCACTGACCTTCTGTTGTATTATCAATTTGAACTGGTTTCCAATCATTTATACTGGTTTATGTGTAATTTCTGTCCCTATCCTGTGAATGTCTGTCCCTTTCTTTGAATGTCTTGGGCTTTTAATTTTGAATCCCAAACTCCATAAAACGTGGGTTTGAATTGCCAAGAAGCGATGTTTGAGAAGTATGGGTCATCTTTTTCATTTTTTGAGAAGGTCCGTTCCATCGACTTTCCTTTCATAAGATATATTATATGAGTCCCTAGAAGGCAGCTGCATATAGCTCTTCTAGAAGCCTTATTAGCCACTGTGAGCTGTCGTCTTGTAGTTGTAACTTTGACCTTGTGTTAGGTACTTGAAACATATAATTTGAATAATTAAAGCAATCTTAAGCATTGTGGCCTAATGAAGAGCCAGGTGCCAGATGCTTTGTTGTTTTGACACACAAAATTATTACAGTCGAGTTGCATCTTACGCGTATTTAACTTACGCGAATTCAGCTATACGCGCTTGGCTGTTGGGGCTGGCTGGGGCACGACACGTAGTGCGACGCAACATGATGCTGCCTGCACGTGCCGGCATGGCTGGGGGGCGGCAGCTCGCTCACGCTCAGCTCGCTGCCCTGGCGCAACGACGCAGCGGAGGACGAGAGGGGTGAGGAGTGCAGCAGGAAGGGCGATTTCAGCTATACTCAATTTTTGCCTTGCGCGCTGACTTCAGCATGTAACCCCTGCATAAGATACAACTCCACTGTATGAAAGTTTCTTCCAAATTTACAATCATTATGCAAGCGCTTGCCTAATCTTAGACTAGAACTTGGGCAATGGGATGCTAAACATGGAGGGCTTCCACAAAAAGCGAGAGGTGCAGTGACTTGCTTCAAAACTAGAAATCAACTGTTCCTCCTCTCTGAAACAGAAAACTTGCAAAATGTGCTGGCTGTGTCTTTCCACCTCTGCTGGCAAGGGTCGATAGAGAATGGATTCGGAGAGCAGAAGACTTAATCTTGTATGCGTTTCCATATCAACAGCAGGAATATCGCTTGAGATTAAAATTGGGAACTTTTTCTCTTGAGCTACAGATGCTTGAGGGACACAGAAATAATTTTACTTAACTTTAAAGCTAATCTGTGGTTTTTTACTTTTGCAGTCCCGGAGGTGGAAGGGGAAGTGGACAGCATTAGCTCCCTGTGTTCCCAGATTACCAACGCTTTCAGCACACCTTCAGAGGATCCTTTCTCTTCAGCGCCTATGACAAAACCGGTTACAGTAGTTGCACCACAGTCTCCTGCCTTTCAAGGTTTCTGACTTTTTTTTTCTTAGTTTGCTTGGATATGCTGGATGATGCTTGTATTTGTGACATTGCTTTTTAGTAGCATGCCATCATGTCTCGGCCTCTTATGCAACCATTATGTTATCTGTATTTGGAAGACATAACCTGCTTTATTCATCTCATATGCTTATAGGGCAGTTTATTTTGCATGTTTTGTTTTAATCTTAAATCCAGATGCCAGTCCCCAACACTATCTTCTGTAAAAGCAAGAGGCTTTGGCACAGCAGCTCTTAATATTCTGTGTTTTGTGCAGCCTTTAGCGTGGCATATCTGTTCACAAATCCAATGCAGCAAGTCCCTGGGCCTGAGCACCAGAACTGAAAGATGTATGAAAGACTAAATGTGACATTTTGACATGAGGTGGGAGCTATGTAATAGGCTCCTCTGACCTTAGGTTCCTCCTAACGGACATGTAAAAAGAGTCAATGGCATATTGTGAAGAGAGCCATGTTTGTTTAGGAAAATAAGTTTAGTTGTATTTGAATCTACAGTGAGGCTATTCTAGCTCTGTTTTGTTGTCGCATACATTTTGCAGAGCATCAGGTCTAATCTAACTTCGGCCTGTTTGAAACAATTTTTTCCCAACTTGAGCCTACCCATAAATCTGAGGCCACCATCCAACAACCTGGCTACCCAGGTTGGTTGGTACAACTGAAATAACTTGGATTTTTTTTTTGAAGAGTGACTAGCTTACACAGGCTTTGTTGTGTGTTTGTCTAAGTGTTTTGTGTTGGCAGGAGTGACAGCCCTCTAACATTCCAGTCACACGCATGCCTTGCATGAATTAACTGCACTGATGTTGTCTACTCCCATTTTAGTTAATGGCACTGCCTCTGCCTTCTTTGTGCTTGCTGCTAAACCATCTCAAGCTGCTGTAGTACCCACAGCTATGCCAGTTCGTGAAACCAATCCTTGGGCTCATGCCCCTGCTGCTCCTGCTGCTACTAATACTGGAGCTGCAGCCACAGTCTCTGGTAAGATCAGATGTAGATCCTCTGCATTGCTATAAGAACTTGAGGTCAAAGGTATGATTTGAGCTCCCGGGCCAGCTGCCGCTGTAACTTGTTGAAGCAGGGGAAAGACCATGAACAAAAGTTGGAAATTAGAAGGGGTTTTCCCAAGTGGGTTATGGGGTTTATAGATTGGACCATGAGAACTCTCATACCCATGTTAAAGAAAATCAGGCACTAAAATGCAAATTCTGAAGCAGAGTGCAAAAAGACTTCAGTACTTTGTTTCAGTATTTTTACCCAGTGCAAGTTATTCTTTATTTAGCTCCAGTGGGAATACAAGTTTGTCTGACACTTCAGAGAAATAAATGGAGTCTGCTGGTTGGGCATGCTAGTAGTTGAGGCCTTGTCTATTCAGGCAAGTTTTGGAGTATACACTAATGTATGGATTGAACTGAACAGCTGCACTGGATGTGGACACTGGTACAGTGAGGAGTGGCATTTTCATTATAGCTTGTGCTTGTTGGGAAGCAGTTAAAGCTAAACCCAAAAAGACTTGTACAGAGCAAGTGCCTCTGTGTGGTGTGGAAGGTCACGATACCTCTAATGGGAAAACTTCTTCCATGGAAACAAGCCCAGAATTCCTGCAGTGATTGTCTTCCATGCACCCCAAGTTTAATTTTGCCCCCCAAATAAGTGTGCTCACCTCTGCAACATTGCATTCAGGACTGGAAAAACCACAGATCCTGGGCTTCAGGTTCGCGCTTAATAGCTCGCGCGCAGTAGCAGTAGTAGGCTGATCTGTGGATAACAGTTTCTGTGCTTACTTCAGTCAGAGGCAGAGCTGATCAGAGGTGGTTGTCTTCTAATCCAGCAAAAAGCCCAGCAGTGTTTGAACTGTAGTTCTGCTCCTCTGCCTGGCTGGCTCCCTATTCCACCCTGGTCAGAAAGCTGGGGAGGATCTTTTGCAGGGATGAAGGAAAAGGGAGAATTAAAGATGGCAAAAAATGTAAAATTGTTGGGAGAGGAAAAATGGGGTGGATGGATAATTTGGGAGGAGAAAGGAGATGAGAAGGATTGAGGTAGAAAAATGTATTTTTAAGAGAAATGATTTAAAAGCAGATTGTCAGAGGAAAAATAAACTGAAATTTAAAGTATTGAACATTGCAGAAAAATTAGACAGAGGTTAACAGACTGAATTACGTAGGAAAAGTATAAGGAAAGAGTGGAGAAGGAAGACCAAAAGCAAGGGACTCGTAGTAAGTACAGTTTTTAAAAATTGTATTGACTATTGCAAATTGTTAAATTCACTTCCCTGCATGTGTGCGTGTATACAGGCAGCAGATAGTGTGCACGCTCCAATTCTGAATTGGAGTCTTGTGTGTGTAATGGTGATGAATGCCTTCCTGAATGCCTAGTCCCATCGCATACATCCTCCTCTAAAAAATCTTACAGTAATTTACAGGGCAAGGTACAGAAGTAGTGGCCTTCCTAGAGCACCTTCTTCTAGGTGTTGGGATTAGTAACAAGTCCAGATTCAGTGACAGCAACTTACTGGTAATTCAAAGGTCCTGGCCTCTGCTGGTAATGTCGAACAGCTTGACCTGTGACAGTCCTAGTGGCAGCGCATCATAGTTGGCATCTTTGCTGGCTTTCTCATCAGTACACCCAGGGATTGAATGGCTATAGAGGGATAACTGTCTTTTCACACCAGCTGTGATGGCAGTTCCTTTTAGTTTGGGTTTAATGGCTAGTGGAGGGACAACTCATACAGTTACCCATTATCATTCATATTCTCCAGAGCTTCCAGTCTTTTTACTCTTCACTAAAACTTAGAAAAAATCTGGAAAATAAGGGATACCAAAGAAGGCAAGTTGGAAGAACAGGATAAAGAGGTGGGAGGGGACTGTGGAATCCTGCTAGGTCAGTTTAAAAAACAATTAAAAGGTTCTTGTGATCCTCAGACCTTGCAGCTGTTCATTTTTAAGTCTGCTGGCCCAGACTGGCACATTCATAAGGTCACAAGCTCTTTTGCTCTTAACAGGGAAGTCTTAAATAATCCTTTATAAAGGCTAGAGCAGTTAGTTGTCAAGTCTACACACATAGGTAGGAAGAGGCGCTGGGGGCACTTTGCACTAAATTTGCCCATTTGTTGCACACGTTAGGTCTCTGTTGCGAGAGGATCTCTTGGGTCTGCCACTTACCTCCTGAATGGGAGCACAAGAGGCCGGTTCTTCTGAATAACACGTGTTCTGGAACTAGGGACATCGCTCCCACCCTTCACAGGCCTTCAGTTTGTCCCATAACCCATTTCCCAAGTGCCCCCTCCCAGGTTCAATGCAACAAAGCAGCACACAAGCCACTGGGGTGTTAAAAGGGGGCTAGCAGGACTTGTGTCCTCCTCTCAAGCTTTGGAGCCCCCACATCCCTGCCTGGGGGTGCTGCTGCCCCAGGGCTAGGCCTACTCCATGCCCCTGGGCTCCGGGAGCCCCTGCGTGGGCCTTGCCCCCCTTGCCTGAACCTACAGAGTAGGTTTAGATTAGACATTCGTAAGAACTACTTCACCGTCAGGGCGGCTGGGATCTGGCACCAACTTCCAAGGGAAGTGGTGCTGGCTCCTACCCTGGGGGTCTTTAAGAGGAGGCTTGATGCCTGCCTCGCTGGGATCATTTGAGCCCAGTTTTTCTCCTGCCGAGGTGGGGGGTCGGACTTGAAGATCTACAAGGTCCCTTCTGACCTGACTTCTATGATTCTGTGGCTGTTGTGTACATCTCTGGAGCCCAAACTAGCATTGATTAGAGGCTGAAGACCAAGACCGGCTCAAGTTTTAATGACTTCATCACATTTCCCTTCCCAGGTACTGAATGGAGCACCACCTCAGGCTCAGCCTCGCCAAGTCTCTTCCAGGCAAACCACAGGCGCACTCCCTCAGAGGCAGACCGCTGGCTGGAAGAGGTATCCAAGACTGTCAGAGCCCAGCAGCAACAGCAGCCACCCCCACCAGCCCCACAGCCATTATTACAGCCTCCCCCTGTGGCTTCCCAGCCAGCCCAGCCTTTTCCAGTGAACACCTTCATCGCACCTCAGCCTGTGCCAGTTGGTGTGGTACCACCAATGCAGCCGGCCTTTATACCTGCTCAGCCATATGCGGTAGCAAATGGAATGACCTATTCAGCTCCTAGTGTCCCTGTGGTTGGAATCACACCTTCCCAGATGGTAGCCAATGTTTTTGGCACTGCAAGTCATGCACCAGTGTCCCATCCCCATCAGTCACCAAGTCTTGTCAAACAGCAGACGTTCCCCCAGTATGAAACTAACAGTGCCACTGCCAGTCCTTTCCTGAAGCATCCTGCTCAGCACAACGGCTCTGCAGCTTTCAATGGAGTTGACACTGGGAAATGGGCCACAGAGGACAAGCATTCACAGCCTCCTGCAGCTGCCCAGCAGGTGGATCCATTTGAAGCACAGTGGGCAGCACTAGAAAGCAAGTCCAAGCAGCGCACTAACCCATCTCCAACTAACCCCTTCTCAAGCGATTTACAGAAGACATTTGAGATTGAACTTTAGGCAGTCCTGTGGGTTGGGCATATTGTGTCGGGATGGAGGGAGTGTAAAGGGAGCAGAGGGGACTCTTTCTGATCAGAACCCTCTTTTAATCCCAAAGGGTCCTGACAAATGCAAATGGGTGTAAAGCAGGAGCAATCATGGACAGGAAAAAACCCTACAGAAAATTTGTTATGCAGTCTTTAAAAAGGAATCATGAAAACAGCCTGCATGCATTCCCTCCTGGCTGGGAATGCTGACTAGCAGAGGAAACTCAACAGACCGACAGTGGGCGTTGAATCCTGAAACCTATTTGCAAGAACATCAAGTGATTTCGCATGAAGGAAAGCAAATGATCTACCACCTCCCTGTGCTGTATGCTAGCCTTTTCCCCTGGGGGAACGAGGGAAACATTTCTGAGGGGGGGAGGGAGAGGGGGAGCTGTCAACTGCTCAGCAAAAGCGGTGTTTGTGGAAACAAAGTCGAGCTTCCATTTTGAGTAACAGTCAATATTATATATATAAAGAATAAAATAAAGCCAAAATCTTTATTTTTTATGCATTTAGAATATTTTAAATAGTTCTGGATATTAAAAGCTGTATGAGTTGTAAGTAATCTTGCCAAAGGTTAAAAGGGGTTGGATGTAAGAAATTGTACATAAGATTGATTTATCTCTGATTCTTATTGTAAGTAATGTGGGGGGGGAAGGAGAGTGGGTCCCTAGCTTGTTCTTGTATCTGTTCATTGTAAGTAGCATATTGCAACAACAATCATGAGTCATGACCAATAAAGTCACTATTGTAGTTTTAAATGAGGGAAATTGAAGAGCAGTATTGTCATGGTTGGAAAACCATGGAGAAATTTTATTGTCTTTTTTTCTAATGGAATCAAACTAATTATTATATATAGTATGTATATTCTTTCATGTATTGCTGCAGTTTCCTTGTCTTAAATATCAGTTAACACTACTGTGACAACTTACTGTAACCATATCTACAACCTGGGGCCACCCGGGAACCCATTTTATTTCGTCTGTTCAATAGATTTTAGGGTTTTCTTAACTTTTGGGTTTTTATTTTTCCAACTGTTCGTGAAACCTCGTGGTTAGGGCTGCAGCTGTTCCAAGTTTCGCCTCTGGTGACTTGTGAAATCCATCTTGTTTTAACTTCTAAACTTTGGCCTTACAAGCAAATGTAAGTTATATATTTGTACTGATGATTTATAATCCGCTTTAACAGAAATAAATGTTGGTGGTAGAAGCTCTCTTAGTGCAGGTTTCGTGCTTTCCCCCTGCACAGTCCTCTTGTTTCTGCCTGTACTCACCTGAGAGTCCAGAAACCAGTTCAGTGCTTATGTAGAACAAAACATGGATTCTTTTAAAAACCATATTGCTTTTTCTGCATCTTGTACACAATATTACAAATTGCTCATTTGTAAGGAGACCAGGCACACATGACTCCCTCTGATTTCAGTTCAAGTGATCTGAAAATTGGAAATAGTGAACTTTTGGTTCAATCTTGCATTACTGATTTCCTTACATCTTTTGACAGACCTTTTTGAGCTGCTATTTTTTCTAAGTTTTTGTTTCATAAACTAGTGACTTCGCTAGCAAAGTGTGACTGTCTAGTCCATGTTCACTGTGTAGTCCAATCACAAACAAGCCACACCCCTTTTTGCAAAAAGCCAATCTTCTCATGAATCCAACTTGTCTATTTTGAAGAATGAGAAAAGCAGCTTAGGGCCTTTGCAGACTTTATGGGTTGGCAAATTCTGCACAGAGGTTGCCAGTTGGGTGCTCTCAGCTGGACAGGTGTAAACCTGTGAGCAGGTTTAAACTTGCCAGTAAGTGTAGAGCCAGGGATCACAATCTCGGGTCCCAAACACGCTACAGGAAGCAACTGGAATCTGATAGATCTTATTGGCCCTAAAAAGCCCATGTCCTGCCATGCATGTGTGGCACAGCAAGAGGTGCGATTGCTAGGATCAGGGATCAGAGCCCATTGCACCGTTAAATTAACATTTGCCAGTGGCCTTAGTCTGCTATAGTCATATGCTCATCTGTGGAGCACATGCTTCTGCCACATACTAAGCCTTTGCTTTTCTCCCTTTTTTCAAAACTGCATTTGCTCCTATTTAGGAACAGACACAAAGGCTCTAGTTGCACAGAGAAGTAGTCAAACCAGGCACTGCAGGTTTTTAGACTGGACGCACAACCTGAACCCTGCCCTGTGGGGGTGCTTACCTGTTCCCTGAGGATACTTGTGTAATGCCAACAGCTTCTGCAACAACTGGTGCATATGATATTAAACATGAGCTGACTTATTCGTCTCCAAATCTACCCCCTTTTGAGTGAGAGAACTGGGATCTTCCTGACCACTGCCCAGAATTCTCGCTTCATCCTATCAGTACAAAGAGCAGAAAGTAATCCACAAAGTGGCTCCATTATTAAGTAATAATAACAAGTTTCAGTAAATAGAAAAAAGTAGATAGAGGAAAGAGCTCTTTATTCCATTTTACAGTGTTGGTTGTTCCTTAAACCAGTGAAGCATGTCTCTCCTAAATGCAACAGGCTTATTTTGGGATTCATTTGAAACTTAACAGGCCAGTTGCTTTTCCTCTCCCAGACAGATGACTAGTAACTATACAGTAAAAATGTCATGCAGCTGAGTCCAATCTATCAACATGCCAGAGTCCCTTTGCACAAAAGCAGAGTGGAACTTACCTTCCTAATCCCTGTGATGCACAAATTGACTGAAAGCTGATTTTTTTTTTTTTTAAATACTATGCAGCACCGTTTTTATGAAGACACTCCTCAGTGCAACCTGTAGGCATGCGAGAGACCATAATTTCCTTTATGAGCACTCCCAGGCTTGACAGTGAACCACTGATAAATGCTCTGAGAATTGGGTTTTTTCTTTTTTTGGTCTGTGCCCTCACCGTATTACTTTCATCCTTCTCATTGCTTAATTTGCTGAGACTGCAATGTAGGATAGTCTTACTAGTTGAGCCAGATCCCACCCAATGCTTCCATATCAACTAAGCCAGTAGGGCTCAACCTTTTTGCCGAGTAGACTGGATGGGCAGTGCCCAGCCCATCCATGGGCAAGATCTGGCTGATGGGCCTAATCTGGTGCCCAGGCCAGCTTGGTAGAGCCCCATCCAGCTGTGCAGATGGGTACAAAGGCCAGCCCTCCCCTGTCCAGCTGTGTGTGTGGGAGGGGTGGGGGGTGGGAAGAGGACATGGCCCAACCCTAATCCAGCTGTGTGGAGGGAAGGAGGTATGGCCTGACCTGATTCAGCTGTGCAGGACAAAGGGGGCCTGGCCCAGCCCTAATCTCGCTCTTTGGGGGTGGGGGGACTATTAATGGTCACTGCACTCCTGCTACTAAATTTCCTGACCTGTGGGGAGCCCCATGGGCCAAATGAGTACCCTTAAACTAAGCTAGTCTCTTACAATAAAAGAAGGAAAGGAAACTGATTTCACATAACTGGGCCAAAACAAACCCATCATTTTCTCCTCTGGAGTTTTATAAATCTATCATCTAATAATTTTGCTCTGCTGAGCATCAGTGAGGCTGGCTGTAATTCATTACATCTTTCTTTTTCTTATGCTCTTATTCTCTAGGACCCTTCCTGTCATCTTATGAGTTCTCACATATAATCACTAAAGCATCAGAACTTGCTTCAGGTAGTTGTAAGTATGCTGTGGCAGTGATACACTACCATCACTGACTCAGGGGCTATGAGAGCAGTCAGTGCTAACCACAGCCACAATATCATATGTGTCCCCAGCATAATTATGGCAAATGTGTTCCAGTTGAAAAGAAAAAACCCTCAGTGTATTATGCTGGCATATTTCCAGCACTATAGTACTAATATACAGCTGTATGGATGCACTTTTTTGCAATGCAATGCATACATTTGTTTAAAAAAAACAATACACATTGCAATAGTTTCTGGAAGGGAAGAGGCTGAGAGGGATAAATTGAAGAGCTACTTCTGGTGGGGAACCTGCAGGCTGAGTATCGCTAGGTAAGTGCCACCAGCAGTCTGCAGGTTAGCAGGGCCAAACTCTTTTCTATATAGTCTGGTATTCTGTTATCCAGATCACTAGATCTGGCTTACCCTTCTTACATAGCTCTGTGATGAGTGCTGCTTAGGGTACTGAAGTGGAGTACAAATTGGTAGTAAAACCCTACCATCCCAATGAAAGCTTGGGCTTGCTTTTTTTTGTCTGGGGAGCAGGCCAGTCCTGAATAGCTTTTATTTGAGCCAGCCCATTTCATCTGACTGCTCCCCATTTTGTGTCTAACACTTTGGCCATTCCCACTTTACACTTTTGCTCTTCCCAGCCTCCTTAAGGTGGTCTCAGGTTTAGCTAAAAATAAAAATGTTGGCAATGTATGTAAGGACAAATGCATCCATCCCCTTCTTTAAACCAGTTTTTTATTCTTCACTTGTGCTCCTAGTTCCCTTGTGAAAATCAATTGCTTTGGTCACATTTTCCCTTCTGAATGAAAACGAAAAAAAAAAAAAAGCCTTCTCTGCCCCAGCCATCTGTAACTAAGCCTGAATTATTAGGTTAGTAATGCTAGTTTAGACTGCAGTCTGTGCCCAGGACTCATCATTCAGGATTTGCTTCAACTGATATTAATAAGTAGCAGACCAAAACCTAGTTTTATGCTAGCAAGCCTGGGCTTTAGCACCCCAAATACTATGGCAGCCCAGAGCATTGGAGAGTGAAGAGAAGAGAGAAGAAGAAAAAAAGCAGTGCATCATAGCCCAGCAATGCAGGATCCCTACTTCCATAACATGCCTCCAAGTCAAAATAACAGTTGTGTTGAAAATTGCTGCACTAGAAGTTATATCTGCAAGGAGAAAGTGCTCTACACAGAGCGCAGTATATGCTGTGAAGCCACATCTAGCATGCAGTAGCTTAGGAGGCTGTTCAGTTTGGGAATGTTATGTCATCCATGGACCTCTCTGCTTAACCAAGTCCCTGCATTACATCATCCCCATATTAACACCCATGATGGTTTCTCATCCAGAACCCGGGGTATACAAGAAATGTCACAGAACAACAAATGCTGCTCAGATGTATTTACTCTAGCTGCACTTCCGCATTTGTTGCCTTTTTATACTATGCTGACAGACTCACTCTCCTGCTCAGGCCACGTGGAAAGACAGTTTTTCCTAAAAGTTAAAAGATGGTAAAGCAGGTCAGCTGTTGGCTGGGAGTGTGCCATGTTGCTGGGGACTCAGTAAATAGTTAGTCTTTTCTCCAAGCCTAGTGCCAGCACTGCGCTGCTGCTGCTGCCGCTGTCATCTGCGATTGAAACCCTGCTCTTGTATCTCAATCTTTAAAATGCTGATGGGCCTTTTCAGAAGCATGGAAGCATTTAAGAGCTTGGGACCTGCTCAGAGTTCAGGACAACAGTTTCAGTTTTATCCACCTGAAGCTCTCTGACAGTGAGATGCAGAGACCATGTTCTTCACTTTCTGTCCCACGCTCTGGGGTTGCTCTTAGGGTTGCTCTGTGCTGTTAAAGCAGTAGCTGTATTTCACTCCAAAGTTGGCCATATTTTGGTGGCAGCCAGAATGATCCTGAGTACAGTTTTGTCTATTTAAGAAGCATAATGTTGTGATAAAAAAAGCTGTAGGACACTATTATCCCAGCCCTAAGGAAGCATTCAGAAGCTCATGGGATGAGTACACCCAAGTTTACAGGCAATATGCTCTTTTTCCTTGTGCAAAGTGCAGTCTGGCTTTCAGATGGGAAATACTCCATAGGCCTGTATGTATGCCTTGCTATCTGGTGTGCTGGCCGGATGATTCTGGACTTCCTTCAAAGGGCTTGCAGGCTGTGGTTTTAGGAGAGGTTTCTCTTACTTAAAGGGTTTCTCTCTCTTTCATGTTGCCTATGAGGCTTCTCTGAAGTAACAGGGTTCATGTGGTCTTCAGGTTTCTTTCACTTAGGATAGTCAGCAGCTGTTCTCAGATGAGAGAGACAGGTGTACTACATAGTAAAGTGCATGGGAAAACAAGGAGTTTGGAGCATAATTAGGAAGGTGTGCATTCTGCTACCTTTGTACAGTTACACCCAATACAGTTCATGAAGTCAGCAAAACAGCCTACTTGAGTAATGAACACTGCTGAGCCATAA